CCCCAAAACCCCAAAACCCCAAAACCCCAAAACCCCGTGTTACTGTAATTTTATTGGAAAATGTCTAGTGAAGAATCAGATTACGAACACGACCAAATAGCTGATGGCCAACTTGAAGGTGAAGGTGAATCCTTTGATGAAGATGACGAACTAGCCCATCTAGTTGGAGACAGTGATAGTGACGAAGCTGAAGGAGAACCAGAAGGTGATGAAATCCTCGATGATGAAATTGATGAGCTTGATGCTGAGGGAGACATGGAGGAAGACAAAGCCCAACAAGAGAATTTCGATGAGGAAATGGACGAAGATGAGATTGAGAAGGTTGGTGTTGTAACCAATACCAACAAGGATAGATCAGCAATGGATAATTTGTTGGCTAAGGAGGATCTTGGCATTGTTAACTCAAGAATTCAAGAAAGCATAAGGATCTTGACCAATTTCAGAGAACTGAGAGACCCTAATAAGACTAGGACTGAGTATATGACTGATCTAAAGAATGATGTGATGACTGCTTTTGACTATAACCTTGAGATGGTTGAGATTTTCTTCTCTCTGTTCCCACCAGCAGAGGCACTCAAGTGTATTGAAGCAAATGAAGAATCAAGACCAGTCACAATAAGGACAAATACTCTTAAAACAAAAAGAAGAGATTTAGCCAAGACTTTGATTCAGAGAGGAATCAACTGTGAGCCAATTGGAAAGTGGAGTAAAGTAGGATTGAAGATATACGACTCTCAGATCCCATTCGGAGCAACTCCTGAGTATTTAGCAGGACATTACATTGTGCAATCACCAAGCTCATTCTGCCCAGTCATGGCTCTTTGCCCTCAACCAGGAGAAAGGATTCTTGATATGGCAGCAGCCCCTGGAGGAAAGACTACCTACATCGCACAATTGATGAAAAACTCTGGAGTTCTATTTGCCAATGATGTTAAGGCTGAGAGATTAAAGGCTTTGAAAGCAAATTGTCAGCGTTTAGGCATCAAAAATACCGTCGTCACTCATTATGATGGAAGAAAGTTCCCCACAATCATGAAAGGCTTTGACAGAGTCCTCCTTGATTCCCCATGCACTGGTCTTGGTGTTATCTCAAGGGATCCATCCATTAAGGCCCAGAAGACTTATAAAGAAGTTATGAAGTTGTCCCATTTGCAGAAAGAATTAATCTTGGCTGCTATCGATTGCTGTGATTTTAAGTCAAAGAGTGGTGGCTACATTGTCTACTCAACCTGTTCCATCACAGTTGAGGAAAATGAGGAAGTCATTGACTACGCTCTGAAGCATAGATATGTAAAGCTTGTCGAGACAGGACTTGAAATTGGCAGTGAAGGACTTCCAAAATACAAGGAGCAAAGATTCCATCAGTCCTTGAAGTTAGCTAAGCGTATCTATCCTCACACCCATAACATGGACGGTTTCTTCGTCGCCAAGCTTAAGAAGTTTGCTAATGGCATTAAGAGCCAGGACAAAGAAAAAGACCAGCTTTCCATTAACAGGGAGAACGCTATTAAGAAAAACAAGGAAAAGAAAAGAGACAGGAAGGGCAGGAACAAAAATGCTGACTCCAAATCCAACCAAAAGAACTTGAAGAAGAGAATCAAGCAGAAGAAGCAAGAGAGCAAGAAACAAAGCGAGGACAGTAAAGAAACCACAGAGAAGCCTACTAAGAAGGAAAAGAAGCAGGAGGACTCTGCTGAAGAGTCAAAGGCAGAAGTTGACCAAAAATCTGCTCCTAAGAACAAAGGAAAAAAGGACAAGAAGAAGAAATTCCAGGATTATAAGCAAAAGCTAAAGGAAAGGAAGGAAAAGAGTAAACAAAAGAAGAAGGAAGGCAAATTCAAAGCTGTGGAGACCAATCAAGAGCAACTCAAGAAGATCATCAATGCTGAAGAGGTTAAAGAGAAAAAGCAAGAAGCCCAAGTTGAAAAGAAATTCAAGAAGGAAAAGAAGGAAAAGAAAGAGAAGAAAGAAAAGAAAGAAAAGAAGGACAAGAAGAACATGAAAGAAGCTGAATCTGTTGAAGAGCTTAGTAAGAATAAGAAACGGAAGCATAGCAAAGAGAAAAAGGATAAGAAGAAGCATAAGAAGCAAAAGACTGAATAAATGTCAATATCGCCATAAATATAGCGTTTCAATATTAATTTACCTGTTGGGGTTTTGGGGTTTTGGGGTTTTGGGGTTTTGGGG